GGTCAGATCATCAGCTCTGGCCTCCCTGTTCCTATTTTATTGAACAAAGAACAAAAGTATGCAATATATAGCACTACCGTCAATATAATATTGCACTGCTTTCTAATGTATAATCTGTGCCTTTATTTTATACTAGCAAATTGCCCATCAAAAATGATGGGCAGGCTGGGTGGCAGGGACAGAGCCCAGCGTTTGGTCCTGTGCTCCTGTTCCCCCCCCCCACACCCCCTCCCTGCAATTTGGGTTTGGGGGCCGGGGCCCCTCCCCCTCCTTCTGCCGCAGGACTGACCCTGTTGCCAACCCCCACCACAGCGGCCCTGCCCCTGCTTTAGGACTGGGTCCACTCCCCACACTGCTCTGGCCATGTCCCCTCCCCCTGGTCTCTCCCCCCCCCCCCCGGTTCAGGGTCAGCCTCCCCCCTGCCCTTCCCCCTCCAGCAGCAGTGGTGGACCCAAGCGCAGGCCTGGCAGCGGCCGCAGACACAGATTTGGCAGGGCAGGCGCAGGCCCAGTGTGGCAGCTGAGGGCATGGGGTGGCAGCCACGGGGTGGTGGCCATAGCTATCAGTAACCACCCCCTCCCCTCCCTGCTGGCTCTTCTTGGGGCAGGGAGGCAGAGGTGCTCTGGCCCCTGGCTCTAAGGAGCAGATCGTGGGGGCAAGGCCAGTGCTGCTGGCCTCAACCCCCGGCTCCGTCCCCTCTGTTATGGTGGGGCTCCAGTCCCCATCAGAGTGGCAATTGGAGGCAGCCAAGCAGAGTGCAAATAAAGCGTTATGGACAGACAGACAGACAGACAAAGGCTTTTATAATATTAGAATTACTGTTTTGTTAAGTTTTGCTTCGTGTTGTTAAATGCACTTTTTCCTCTCTCTCTGTTCTGAATTTATGCTGTGTTCCATTCATGAGTATTTCAGTGCACTTAAAACTCAATTGAAATAGGTTAAATATTTATAATACAAGATCACTATATATCACTTGAGTTTTTATCTAAACACTCCTTCTATCCCCTGAAACAGTACAGAAGAAAAACAAAATACTACAGTACTTAATAGAACTCTTAGTCTCTGTCCTCACTCTGACGTAACACTGTTTCTCACAGTAACAACTGCTCACATGGAAAAAGGTTTGATCCTGCACACTATCAAGTCTAAGGAAATGCATATACAATTATTTAATATAAATCTGATTTTCAGGTGTTTCTGTTCTAAGGGATAGCCTGATTCTCATTTCCACTAAGCCCCTTTACATCAGTCTGTCACTGTCATGGGGCTACAGCAGGGTAAGCAACCCCTGGCACAGGTACCACAGTGTGGCACGTAAAAGCATTTTGCATGGCATGCATGCCTCAGGGCAAATGGAGAAGGGGCGGGGCTGTGCTGCCACAACAAGGATCGGATCCCTTATGGCTCTCCTGTTGTCTGCCCCGTCACACCAACGTCAGACAAGTGGAGGTTGTGAGTGATTTTGGCACTCTGCCCAAAAATGTTTCCAACCCCTGGGCTACAGCCTAAATAAAAATTGGGCCCAATGAGGTGAAGACCTAAGGCACTGTAATTCCCATTAATAGAGTTGCTTTTGCACAGATGGAAGAATAGAGGCTTTTTAAAGTATCTGTTTGATTTATTTCTCACCTGTACAAAATATATATCACTCGTATCTAAGAACCAAAATGTAAAAATGTTTTTAATTCAGTGTATAACTTATTTTATTATTCAACAAACCTTGCACAGAACTTAGTTTAACTTGTGAAGAAGATGAAAACATGAAGGCTGGAGAAAGCCAGAGTCCATCTGTTTCCAATTCTCAGGTATAAAAATGTATTCTCTTCCAATCTCATTTTTTAATATTTTCCCAAAGTTCTGTGCTCTTTTGTTTTCACACTAACGTTTTCAGTTTTAAGGCACCCTGAACAATTAATAGGCAATCTCTGCAGAAATGCTTCTTTTTATGTTTCAAGCCATAATCATTAACAATAAAAAGAAATGCAAAACTCTAGAACTCTTGGTTCAGATATGATACCTTTTATTCAACCAGCTAAGACATCGCAAAAAAATTATCTTTTTTGAAAGCTTTCAGGCTCACATGCCATTTATCAGGCTCAGGGAAAATTAAAGATGGTAAAAAGTCCCCACAGGTAGGAAATACATGCATTTATATTCTATCCTTACACTGCATATTTTATAATAAATATGTTTGATATTTAAAGTTGTAAAAGCATTCAAAGGCATTTCTGTAATGGTGCTAAATATTGCAATAGACTGCGCCATATGATTAAAAATAGAAATAGATTTTTTCATGGTTGCAAAGCATCATCACTGAAGACTCCCTCTTTTACAGAAAATACTTAAATGTCTTTCTGAAGAAAATATATTGAATACATTTGCAAGTAAATAATTTCAGTGGTCAGATCTTTAACTGTATTTATGATTGATTCCAAGTCTGACTTTCTAAGCAAATGCTACAGCTAGGAATCATTCCAAAGACGATAACAAGATGAATTATAAAACCTAAATACAAATCTGCTGTCGATAGAACATCTTCCAACTTCTTCTAAGAAGAAACTGACTTGAAGTATTATATAAAGGAACATCCAGACAGCAGACTCCCCTCTACAACTTAGAACAAACTGACAACATTTCTGTTTTATTTGGCTCTAATAAAATAATGTGATATCCATAATATATGGATATTATGCAGGCATGTACAGTGGAAATCCCCGGTTTTCTTGTTGTTGATGAAATCCTAAGGCTGTTACAAAATAATACAAATACCCAGTGTATTCCCTGAAAACAGCACAATGCTGTGAAAGTGTAGAAGAGTACTACTTCTAACGCACATTGACCCTATGGTAACTATCAGTGATTGAATGTATAAATATAATTAAAAGCAACTCAGGGGCTAATTAAGCAAATCATGCACATGCCTGACTTTCAGCATAGCAGTCCCTTTGATTTCAGCAGAAGTACTTGTACGTCAAGTTAGGCATGCGTTTTAGTCCTGTTGTAGACTGAGCCAGAGCACTTGATGTCATGCAGGACTAGGCCATCTGTACTGATTTAGTCTTGTAGTTCTAAAGCATATTTTTGATTGCGGTAACATTTCTTTTCTGGTTTTAGGTTGATCACTTAGTAAATAAGACATCAGAATTAAACATGACTGAGGGCAAGACAAGAAGTGGAAAAATATTTCACAGCAGCACAGTTAGTAATTTATTTTTAATCCAAAATTCTTTGTATTCAGAATGAAAATATGTTCTTCAATACAATTTATAGTACAGGGCTGAAATCCAGTCCCATTGAAGTAATCAGAAAAACGTCCATGGACTGAAGCAGGCAAGGATTTTGCTGCAGATTCATTCTTGTTTGGCTCTTGTTAAGGAACATGAACAACACAGTTCACATTTGTATTCCTAATGTCAATGCTTATTCCTAAAAATTACATCAGTGTTCAGTCCCAACTGTCCAGCCGAGGGAATTATTTATATTTTCGTAGAATAAACTTGGCCAAAGTCTCTGTTGGCCTAATTCCATCAGCTACAATAGTGCTACGCCAGTAGAAAACTTAGCTAGTGCATTGCTTTACGTCTCCTGTAAATTATTTTATTTATAAAACATTGAGCCAGGACTCTGTGCACAGAAGCTTGATTTATACAAAATCTTGAAAAGTCTATATTGCTTTCTTATTCCAGGTTCAGTGTGGCCCCAGAATTTTTGAAACCCACTCCACCTACAGAAAACGTATTTGGGCTCCATACAGCTGGGACCAGTGGTGCCTGGGGGAAAGGATTTGACTCCTGCTGCAGAGCTCCTGTGTCACCCAAATCTGCCCCTCACCCTTCAGTGGCTATTACTCCAGTCTATGATAACCTAGAATTATATTCTGCACCTCTCTGCATCAGTTTGTCAGGCTCATGATCTACCTAAACACCAGTTCTATGGCCCCACTGCAGATTTCTGCTATGTGGGGCTGGTACACAAACTCTTTCCACACTGCATCAAGGGGAGCAAAATTATACCCGTGTGGCCACTTCGTCCACGATTCTTCCTGAACAACAACCCTTATTTGGGAATGTTAAGCACTACAGGTGCTTTTCCCTCAGAAAGAATTATGGGCAAATGCTACTACTCTCAGTAAATAAAGAACACTCTTCATCACTTATAGTTGAGAGAGGAAATTACATGTCATGGCAAAAGAAAATCATACCCTCCCTGTCGCCACTGAAAAGCTCTTCATTAATTTTTAACGCAGGTTAGGGAACAACAGTAGCTTAAGGATCCACAGTGGGTTCCTAAATAGCTGTCTGCAGTCATCTTCTAAAACTAATAGTTACTTTGTTTCTCCATAGGTTTGTGAAAATCAAGCCAGGGAACATTGCAAAACCAATTCTGCAGCAGCTAAGTGTTCAAAAGAAATCCAGAAGAGAAATCGGTCTGAGTCAGAAAAACTTGTAAGTTTGTTTAAAGCTGCATTAAGAAAGCAAAGGATGCTTTTTGTATGTGGTGCATATGCTGGCAAGAACTTCACATCTGTGTATGGAAAATAAAATGCAGAATGTAAAGCAAGATGAGGGGGATTCTGCAAAACGCTGTCTTACCTTAGCCATCTGCAGTGAACACTGTCTCATGCCATGCAAACTAAATGAAAAATTAAGATATTTCACATATTTTCATAGACAAAGGCAGAAGCAAAAACTAAAGCTTTCATTATTACTATGTCAGGCTACAGATAAACAAGCCTTAGTACTTCATATAGGCCTGAGCATAAAACACTGACAAATAAATTTTGGTTTTATTTAAATCTGTGTAAATCAAAAGCACCTTCATTAAGGTCAATGCAGTTAAATAGATGCAAAACCAAGTGTCTTGACAGTGTGCATCACCTAGTTAACATTAGATATTAAAGCTGGACTCCTAACAAACATCACTTTCTCTTGAAGCCGTGGCACAAAGGAGCCTTAACTCTGAGTTTATAAATAACTTTAAACTCTCTTTCAGTATGTGCATGAGAGTTCTTGTGTTTGTATTTATGTACAAGTAATGTCACTGCAGGCCTGGATATGCTGAGCATGGCTCCTTGTGTAGCATGCAGTTGATTCCTATTATGAGATTCTTTTTTATCTTCATACCTTTTTTCACACCTAACACGAGTGAGAGAGCCATGGTTTATTCAGCGCGTGACCTGTAATGCAATTTGTATTTTCTCTTGGCAGGTTCATCAGTTTGAACTCTCATCTAGCCAAGATGCGCTGCCAAAAAGGAGAAAATTTAGTGAGCCAAAGGAGCAGTTCTAGATCTCTATCTTTCTGCTCTTCATTTGTAGAATTCTTAATATGCTTATCCTTTTGTGTGTAATATGAATATTGTTAATGTTTCAGATAATTTACAGTTTTTTATTTTAAATTTTATTTGTGGAGAAAATGCAGAGTGTACTTTATAGCCAAGAAAAGCTTGTCAAGAGAGGCTTCAATTTTACATATTGTTTGTAATTTTTAAACAAGGTTGTGTTCCAGTCTGGAGAGAGATGAGATGTAACCATTAATCTGATCTGAAGGGAAAAAAAGCTTCCTTTAGGAAGATTTCTAGGAAAGTTTTCTACAAATGCCCTTCCTAAGATGATTTTGCTGAAATCCCATTGATGGTATATACTGTGCACCCTTGGAACTGAAACAGTGAGCTGCTGCCCCTCATGTCCTTTCTTGGGCTATTCTTAACAATCTTAATTTTATTCAAAACAATCTTTTTTTTTATTCAAGATATACCCAATAGACCCAACAGAAAAACTAAAATCACCTCTGGTATTTGGGGTTTATAGCAGGAAATCAGTCTAAGAAAGCTGGCGTGGCCATTCTGCAACAAGACTATAGCTACCCCTTTTTATTACACCGAAACAGCAGTAGCCTGAAAATTCATGGGACCTGATCAATTTCCCCAACAGTACCATACCCAAAGTAAAAAAAAACAAAACAGGATTCATCTCTTTAGTTTCTAATCTTACAGTGAAATGCAGGAATTCATATGCCACACTGTTGAGACGCATATAAAGCTAAGTATTAATCATTATTATATGCGGCATGCTGCCATGCAGAGTACAGTATTACATACTGTAATAATGAACTAGGGCCAAACCAGAAAAGCAGACAACTCAGCTTTTACAAATGCAAAGTGATGAGTTGCAGCTATTAGATAGTGTCATTTAACTGCTTTTACAAAATTAATTGTTTGCTTTTCATAAACTTTGTGTTCACTGAAATAAAGCTCCTTATAAAGAACAGGTAGCAACTACTTCTATAGTTCAACTACATGCAAGTAGCTCAGTATTTCTGCCCTTGGTTTTAATTTTTACACTAAAAATATCTTGTTATACTCCTCCCTAATTAGGACCATGTTATTTACTAATTTGTTAGTGTGCATTTCTTGAAATATAATGAGTCATAAAGTTTGACTTAAAGATGCTATTGATTTTAATGAAATGTCTTGGGACTTGATTTCAATGTGCTTTGCTTATTTTAGTGCCATTTTACAGTTTTGTTCCATTTTAGATGAAAAATAAAACTATAGAATCTGAATGGACTGGATAATGTCCATGCAAACACTACATGAAGAGTGCACAATATTATGAGATGATGCATTATGATGTAGTCTGAAAGAAACAGGAAAAAGCCAGGGGCATCCTGGCCTCCTCCCCTAAGTTAGACCAGCAGGTTCTAGCTTTTCCTGTTTCACTGGGGCAGTTCCCCTGCGCACCCACTTTCAAGTCGGGTTGGTGCTGCAGTATTAGAGCCCCTGTCTTCCCATGTCTGACTTCTACCATGCTGTCCAACTCAGACCTCTGCTTTAGGATTAAAGGCGTTTACATGTTAATACTTGTATCTTTCAGCCAGAGCTTTTATACTTCAGACTTTCAGACACAGATGAATGCAATACACTCAAAATATTCAGAGGGTATCAGGAGGTGAAGCAATGCTATTTAGGGCTGCCATCAGGTTTATTAACACAAAATGGCATTGGGGGTGGGGGGCATAAGGAAGTGCCCATTTGGGGGAGATGGAAGCATGAGTGACTTGTGCCCCAGTGTCTGGGCGAGCATGGCTGTGGCAGGAGCATGGCAGCAGTAAGCAGGGAGGTCCCACAGATGCCGCCAATGCTGATGAGCACCAACCAAGGGTCAGCGACCACTCACTGCTGTCGTCGGCAGCGACTACCAGGGATTGTGGACCGCCTGCAGATGCCGCTGGTGGTAGGGTGGTGAGCAGTGACCACCTGCAGGTGCTGCGAACATCTTTTTGTAGGGAGTGGACTGCCACACTCAGGGGGTGCACATGCACCTGTGCGCATCCCCTACACGTCGCCCTTGGATGGAAGTGATAGGTACTGTGCCTGTGAAGACCTGGACCTCCTTTCTAGCTGCTGCTGGACGGATACGTACCGATTTCTCCTCTAATTCTCAGTGTTGCCCTTGTGCAACAGGCATGGGTCTAGATACCCTACCAGACACAGCCCTTCTGGATTGTTTGGTGCTGCTGGTTCAAAACTAGTCCCTGTGACCAAGTAACAGACGCAGAGGTACAGAAGTGCTCTGTATCATCTGCCATCCTGGGGCAGCCACCCTGGAGCAGTTCGAATCCAGCTCTCTCATCAGCAGCTGAGTCTTCACAAGCCTACTTCAGGAGGAACAGGAACCGCTTTGTCTAATACTTCAACATCCTCAGCTCGAATCTTCAGGAGGAACAAAGACTCTTTTATGAAGGTTGCAGTACTGACCAAGGATACAGAGTTCAAACTTCACAAGTATCAAATTAATCCCCCTGCCACATATAAAACCAATTAAGCAAAGTAACACTGAACAAGGGAATAACAACTGGAAGATCTGACTGTAATTTTTCCTAAGGCACAGCAGAACCACTGTTAGAATTGTTTAATACAAAAATATATCGGCAGGAAGGAAACCTACAGTATCATTTTATTTGTTTAATTCTGAAATGTTGCAGTCATCTGAATAGATCTGCTCAGTTCTGTTTCCAGTGAAGACAACGACCTGACCTGCTGAATTTGGAACCTGCTTTGCTTCCCAGCACAGCTGGACACATTCCTTCAGGCAGACATTATACAGCTGGCATTACAACAACACCTGTGCATCGCAACCAAGGGTAGGATCTTGCTCTGCCCGACATTGGGCAAGTGCAGAACCCGAGGCAAACAATTTACAATCCAAGCAGACAAGGTAGACCTAAAATTGGGGAAGAGGGGTTCTGTGGTGCAAGGGGAGTGAACAATGTCATGTTCCAAATATAATTTTTTGGTTTGCTTTTCATTTTGGGGAGTGGGAATTGTTGTTAAAGGTGCTTATGGGGGGAGAGGAGGAGGACAGAGAGCGAGGAAATGGCAAGATGGAGGAGGTAGATGAAGGTAGTGGCACAGGCAGTAAAGGGGAACAGAAGCCTATTCAGTCTCCTGCACCTGGGCTGCAGCAGCTGCTCTCTGCTCTTACCTATCTGGCTTCTTTTTACATCCAAGCTCATGTGCTTGGGGTGGCCCGAGGGGTACATCCCCAGTGTCCCCAGAAGGGTGCTCCTTTGCAGAGTCCTGTACCCTGGGGAAGAGGAGTAAAGGCAGATTTCAGTCCCACCCTGTCCCCTGCAGCACACCGGGGTTAACAGGCCTAGCATCACAACTGTTCTGCGTTCAGCCATGAAAAGACCCAAAGCCAAGGCAGTGCACATTCACTCTTAATTCCCTCTCTCATACTGTTGCAGCTCATCACACACATCTATCTCCCTCTGCTACCTCTCTACTTCCCTCTATATAATCGCACCAATGCATCCACTCCTGGAAAAAGACCGTAACAGAAACCAGAACACTAAGGAAATTTCCTGCTGCCATCACTGTGTCATCCAAGGGCCTTCCACCCCAAACCCACAGCAATGCAAAACTTTCAACTTTTGTTTTCCCCCTAAAGTTCCCAGAGAGGATGCTTTTCTTTCTTGCTATCTTATTAAGCTGTTGAACAAAGGACGACACACATTTTCAAAACATTCGTGCTTTTGTGAAGAAAACTCATACCTAGAAAAACATCTAGATTTCCATATACAAAAGAAAACATAGTTTCACAGGAGGTGTTCAGGAGCACGTTGCTATTTCATAGTTAGGTTCAACTGGAATATGAACTAAACCAATATTTGTCCCCATTACAATGACTATTGATTGGGTCTGAAAACGAGGGTCGGAAGGGACTCAGGTGCCACAGCCTGTGCGTTCAGGTGTTCTCCACGCTGCAAGGTAGCAGTGTGCCGGAGGGGTGGCAGGGTTGATCCTAGGAGATCCCAGGCTCAAACAGTGGAAAGAAAAAGCAGGGTGGTGCATGCGGAGGCAGTGTGCACCACCCAAAACTGGAGCCTGGCCAGCTGGAGCCACACTCCAGCTGCCAGCCAGGCTCCACATGGCAGGATTGTTGCGGTTTAGCCCGTGTAA